AGAAATTGGTCGATATATATATATATATAGAAAGATCAATTCCACATTTGTAAATTACCTTTTAGCAGAAGGGCATGAGTTGAATCATGAATACGATGTGTTAAATTTAGAAGAGAAGAGTTTGAAACTCAATCTTCTAGAATGTTTAGAAATCAATACATTCAGGAATTCGGGTAATTTCCTGAATGATCAATTAGAATTGAATAACTTCCCATTACTACATATCTTTTCAAATGTGGAAACTGGGCTCAGATAATTTAATTCATTACGAACATAGGTAAAAATCAGGTACTTGAAATTTAGGTACTTCAAATTGTAGAATAAGGTATATTAAGCATTGCATATGTAGAATTAGTAAAGACACGCCCAAAGAAGCCATTGTATGGCGAAACATGTTTTGCATTTTTGTAAAATCGTTAAAGAGAATACGCTAGAAATGACTGCTTAACTGCATCTAAAAATGATGGAAGTACATTTTTTCAGCGATTTATTGAAAGAATACATTGTGGAAGTTTTCTCTTAGAAAGCAAACTAATTGAATTAAAAGTTCTGAAATTATAGTCTATTTTCTTAAGCAGCAAAGTAATCAATCATTTTCAAGTCGCTGTTCAATATGCGAACATAATTGAGCCGAATAAAAAAGGAGTGAAGTAGACTAGATCATATTTGCCAAAACTAAACTTATTGTTTATGAAATTAAAAGTGGTTCTTCAAACTAGTGTTGTAACTCATTACGTTTGCCCACCATACTTTTTATGTATTCTGTGTAATCTTATACGCGGATTTTTGTGAGCCACACCTCCATCAACTACATCATTGATTTTCTGAAGATTCATCAAATATTTTTCGGTTATATTACACAATACTCGAAATCGTCTTTGCTAAATTGGTAAACTGAGCACATCTGTTATTTTTCAGGTGTAGGCCTCGTACCCAGAAATGAGGGTAGGGCCTTTTCTCCTGTCGTGGACCTTCAGAAAGACGGAGGAGAATACACCCTCACTTCTATTTCCAAATACAAAAATTACGTTATTACATTCACTCCCGGTAAGGAATTCGACCAGGAGACTCCTGACGGTAGAAAAGTGAAAACCGTCGTCACGGTTGATGGCGACACATTGACAGAAGTTCAGACCAATGAGGATGGAACCACCATCACAATCGATCGAATATTTTCCGTTGATGAAATGAAAATGGTAAGAATTTTTTTACATTTTCTAAGTGTTAATTCAAATTATGAAGGCCAGTTTCATGTGCATTTTAATGGGGAGCATTTCAAACTAAATTATTTATTTCAATTACCTGTGTATATGTAATAATCTCCTAAAACTGATATCATACCTCAAAACTTGGTTAGTTCAATAATGGAAAAACCCATTTGAGGAGCCATATTTTTTCAAATATACTTTGAGGTAGCCATTACTACGTAGTAGGAAATCATAATGAAGAAAAGAGAAAAGGATTTTCTATGTTTTCTACCATTTTTATTTGTAACTAACGTTACTGCAGTTCCGTCCTATAAAGACATTTTCAAACTCATACATTAAGCTCAGTTTGAAAATGTAGTAACGTTAGTTACAAATAAAAGTGGTGAAAAACATAGAAAGTTTCAATTCAATTCAATTTTATTTGGAATATCTTAATATACAATTCATTAATATTATGGTTAGGACCACTAGGAGTTTGAGGAAAGCAGCCTAAGCGCAGGTGGCTTGTAATGTGCGTCCGTCTGTCTCCCCGTGGAAGTACTTTAAAAATATATCAGGCACAAAAGTATTAAAAGATTAAATAACTGTTGCAGTTGTATTAGTGAATAGACAGAGGAAGCTGGTATATTTTATGAGAATAAGTACCTATAATTATCTATACATCTAGGTTTACATAATATTGGAAATAGGTACACATACACTGAAAGACACATTGGAAGATTAGAAAATGTACTGAGTGATTTTATTAAAGAAAGGTTTTGGCTTTGTACTTCTCCATCTTTCTACAAAAAAATGTGGAAATATTCCAAACAAGGAAAAAAAGCAAATAATTGGAAAGTAAACTCTATACAAAGATGTGTTGTTCATGCAAAGAAGTAACTTTCGAACACAAACTGAAAGAAAAAGCCCCCTCGAAACTACCACTTTCATGTAAACAAAAACTAATTTTTCCCATTCAGTTTGAACTCTAAACATTCGTTATGGAATTGAATCAGATTTCATTCACAGGATTGCTGCACACTATAGTATATATAAGGGCTAAAATTAATTTCTCTTACATGGAACACTGTCATTTAAACGCGGATATTCGATGTTTCGGACTAAAACACTGGATTAATTGCCTCTTCAGCACCAAATCTGTATAACATTAAAAGATGAAGCACTCAATCCATTCATGAAATTTTGAGTTTGTAATTTGATTTGAACCTAACCCGTTTTGGGAATCACGCGTTAAAAAGTAAGAGCTCTATAGTCATTAGCTCGCACAAGTTTCGACTTCTGAGGGTTGTCGTTCGTAGGGGTGCGACAGCTGGTTAACGGAAATACAGATATTTTTTCAAATCCCAGATATAAGTCTCTTTGGAAGATTCCCACATTTTTTGTTTCCCAAAAATCTATATCCTATAAATACGTATATCCTTTTCAATTTAAATAATGATAAATAATATCAGTTTGAAAAAAAAATGTATTCCAAACTCACTTCGTTTCATTCCAGTGAATGCTTACATTGTTCACCAATCATTTCTTGACAATAATGAAGTTTGTTTACAAATTTATCATGGAATGTTTTGGGGTAATTTCGTTAGGAGCACCTTCTGTTCTGTTTCACTGATCCCCACAAAAATCTGAGGGTTACATATCAGGTAATGCTGGGGGTCATTCTAAAGGAGTATGTTTACCTATCAACTGGTTTGGATAAATGTCATCTAGCCATTTTCAAACCAACTCGTCGTAATAAAGAGGTTCTTCATCTTGTTGAAATCCTATATTAGTTGAAAACTGATTCGGGTTTGATGATTTTCCAAAAATATCGAGTAAATGTTTTTGCTTTCTTTATAACTATTCAAGTAAATACAACAAATTAGGTATCATTGGAAAGATAATTTTGTGTCCTTTCAAATGATATATCACTCGACCCCTATAACGAATTCATTTCCACCATTAATATGGAAGTGTCCAATCTCCATATAGTCTTTTTCAACTAAACTTACTTTTTTAATCCTTCTCTGCTAGTCTTCTTCGGTAATATTAGATACTTCTTCTTTAATTAGCTCTATAACCTTCTTATCAAATTTTGGAAAATTATTTTTACGCCCGATGCTTTGTTTCAATTTTCCCCAAATCCACTCGATGGGATTGAAAACAAAAATAGGAGGGAGAAGTTTCAGTATCGTGTGTCCATACTTTTCAGCAATACTCTCGAAGGCATACACTTTTTAAAATGTTTTTGTATGTAAAATTTCAAGTAATTGGT